TGGTGGTGGTGGCAGTTATAATTGTGGCTGTAATGATGGTGGTAATGGTTGATTCAGTGTTGACAGTGAAGCTGGTGGTGATAATGATGATGAGGATAAACAGCAGAAAGCATTGCTGAGTCAAGAAAACATAACCGAAATTGTGTTCAGTTTTTATGTTTAATTATTTCATCTTTATAAGACTTCCAGTGGTCCTATTATCTGCATCTTGTGCATTAGAATAGTGATAGTCTATTCCAAAAATAGTAGAGTGGTAACGTGTTCAAGCCAAAAAACTAATGAACAAGCAAAGTTGACATTCAAGATTAAGTCTCACCAAGCCCACACAGTAACCATGATACAAAACTTGACTACAGAAACATCTTCTAGCAGTTTTGATTCAATTGTCTTCTTAAAAACTTTTAGGGTTCTCACCAGTCTATAAATCTAAAGAGAAAAAAGAAAACTCTAGTATTCAATTTTAAAATGAGACCTACATCCAGTCTTATGGGTTGTGAATAACGGATGACTGACCAAACCCAGCTAACATTTGTCTATTCATTCAACCTAAGATATTTTGGAATTACTGTAAGATTATCTAAAATACTTTCTACTAAATTGATGTAGTATAGTATTTGTGTTTATAATAAACTTTGAATTTTTATACTTAACCAATTATACATTACTTTTCTCAATGGTAGTATACCAAGCTCTTTGACCTTCATATTTGTTTCATTGACAAGGACAATAGAATGCAAACTTTTAGCACTAGAAATCATTTAAAAGTTTATTTTACAAATGTGGAAAAAGAAACCAGAAAAATGATCAAAAGTGTTATTAGGTCAAAGCATAGCCTTTGGTGTTAAGATGACTTTAATTTCAATATGGTCATTTATTGGATGAATGAGCACATAACTTTCAGTCTATTTCCTTTTTGTAATGGGAGATAATAATATACAACATACATACATAAAAGATAATAGATAATACTATATACAATGTATATATACATATATATCAAGTTACATACTGCTTTAACACAAGACATTGTATTAGTATTTCATTAAAAATAAAATATATTATTGCCATGAGAAATATATGTAATAAAGTAGCCAAAATTCTTCATGCTCATAGCACATAGCAAGAAATCATTATCACCTCCATGATTCTCATTCAAACAATAAAAGAGTACCCTGGACTCAGCTATTTTGTGTTTTGCTATACCAAGCAGTCCTTCTTTGTATATAGAGAAGGCTTCAAATACATACTTAGTTTCTGCCCCACCCAGGTTCTTCCAACAAGTCAGACTGGACAAAGCTCCACTGAAGGTGTGCACTACCACCCAACAAAAATAATCACAATATGAGGCCTATAGTCTTGATACTCAGTTGTGTTCATAGAACATTTGTGGGTGTCTGTGTGTTTGGAAAAGTTGGTGTCATGAGAAATACATAGGATGGCTATTTACAACTCCTTTGAAAAGATCTGACTTCTATATTATGGATGATATGTTGATGAATGATTTATAGGAGAGACTGTCAAGCAAATTTAAAAGACCAGAATAATCTAAATATAACTAAGGCCCCTAATAAGGTTAAACTAACCTTCATACATAAGGATAATATGTAATAAGTAAAAAAATGGAGAATATAGCATGGTGTTTGAATAAAATATCACCCAAACACATTCATTTCTTGGATGTCAGATTAATGAAATAGCAGACTACTGATTAATGGTGGTATGTAGGTGGAAGAAATGGCTAAACAAAGATGAAAAGAGGTTAAAGTTGTATGGATTATCCACTGCAGATGAATAATAAGTGCCAAAACTTTGTAATTGTTGTTGGTTTATGGAGTTACAATTCTGTTTGTATTTTCTCTATTATCTTCAAAATAAATATATACAAAATCATATCCAAAAATTTTCCACATAAAAGGACAATTTCATATATGTGTGTGTGTGTGTGTGTGTGTTGTTTTTCTACTTATTTATTGCCAAAATTCCAGTGTGCACATTGTCCTAACAAGGGAAAAGTTTCTCTCAGATCAGGGAATGATGAACATCAAATGAACTCAAGGGAATTTTCAAAATGCTAGTGCCTGGATCATATCCCCAGAAATTCAGGTATATAGCTGTGCCTTGACTTAAGTGGAGGCAAATCTTAATAAACCCATTGTTCATGTTACATATCAAAAGTCAAAGAACACACTGTTTGTTGTTAATAACATGCTGTTGGTTGACTGACTAGATAGCACAGGATACCACAGAGTCCTACGTGCTATGTAGGCTCCAGAATCTACCAGCATCACAGGGCAAAGAGATGCACAGATTTCAAATTATTTATTATAGACTCTGCTTTGTCAGTTAGGAACTTGAGATGTAGATTGGATATTTCAGTGGCTTCATCCCCAGGTATTTGCTTGTAATACCTTATAGCCATTAAGGGAAGAGTCTGTAATAGCAGGTATGGGTCTGGGTTGGAATCATCAACATGTGACCACAATCAAGTCTATGAACTAAAAACTTCAACCCTGACAAGTTCATGGATTAAGAAAGAAAATAGGGGACTGGTGAGATGGCTAAGTGGTTAGGAACACTTACTGTTCTTGCAGAGGTCCCTGGCTCCCTGAACCTGCACTGGGTGATTTACAGTCTACTGTAACTCCAATTCTCTGGTATCTGAGTCTGTTCTGACACCTGTATCAGTGGCAACCATATGCAAGTGGTACACATAAACTCATGTGGCCTCTTACACATACACACAACTCAAAATAACAAACTATTCTTGTTTCAAAAGAGATAAAGAAAGAAAATAGAACTCAGAGAAAAAATGGTCATTGGAGAGTCTGGTGGAGGGGAAAAACCTGGGGAAGGAAACGAGAAGAGACAGAAAGAAGTAAAATTGGAACAGAAACTCAACAGAGGGGTTTCAGGAATCAGCAGGTGGCTATCATGTCCTAACATGAAGCCTGCTTGATCTTCAGAAGGGTTTAACATTTTTTGTTTCTTAATTTGTTTTTATATTGACTTTTTGTCTTATTTTCCTTTGCTTCCTGTAGAACTAATGTAATGTAGCTCAGGCTGCTCTTGAACTTTCCATGTAGCTAAGGATGGTTTTGAACTCTTGGTTGTCACCTCCCAAGTACTGGAGATTTCATGAGTGTGCTACTCTCCACTGATTTTGGTTCTGATTTTGAGGTGTCACTACCAGGGTATGGTGCCTGTGTCACACAGCAGGCAGAATGGGATGAAACTATAGCAAGGAGTTCTGAAGGCAGAGTCAACACTTAGGGTTCACTTCTCTTGCAATAACAAATCTCAGAAAACCAAGATGGGAATACATTCAGATTAAATTTTTATAGTTGTTTCTTTCTTAAAAACAAAACATCCTAGCACTTGGGAGATTGAGGCAGGAGAATTGTTCAAAGCATCTGAGCTACATTACATTAGTTCTACAGCAAGAGTAAGGCCCTGTTTCAAAAACACAAAGTAAAATAAATAGATAAATAAGAAATATGAAGCAACACCTAGCATAGGGTATGTATTGAACTTCATAACTTACAGAAACAATTTCAATAAGTTGTCCAACTTTTATAACCCAAACAATCCCATAGAAAAAAATGACTCCCCTTCCTATTGTGAATACAAAACTGAAGACACATGGATATACTTGATTGCTCATTACCATGCAAATAGGTTGCAAACCTGAGCCCTCAAGCAGCTGTGCCCACACGCACACATACACACTGCTTCATGCAACTACGTAAAAGCATCCAGTGTTTGGAATTGCTTTCTGTGCCAGCTCTTCTCAGTCCCTTCTTTTCTGAAGTGTATGTCCTAAGAAGAATTTTAGGGCTCCATCTGTCCAGCTTTGGGTGTTTTACCCAAGTAAAAACAAGGCAAACACAGTTCACTGGATAAACACAAGTGGCAAGTGACAGTGATTTATGCTCAACTTGCAAACTTCTGATTACCAATTCTTCGCCTGCTGTATAAACAGGTGTAAACTAAGATTTAATCAGTTTACACAGCATGGTAAATAATTTAATCTCTCCTTAGCATGGTGCTTGCAAACTTAAATGTTCAAGACCAAACTGATGGTGACATTCTGATGCTTGTGTCCAGTTTCTCAGCCAGAAAAGCTGTGCCCACAAAGGGCTCTCAAGTGCCCCTTCCCAGGGATAGGAATGTGAGAGGGGGGTAGAAAACTCAGAATCCCCAGTGGAAACCTCATTTTCCCCACAGAGCACTTAGCTACGAGCTCAGAGAAATGGCTGTTACCTCTCTACCCTTAACTCCCCCATCCTAAAATGTTGTGTTCTTTCTTTTCCTCCCTATATGTCAGTCATCTGTCCACCCTTTACTCATCCCTGAGCACTTTGCCCTGCCTCTATCCTGCTACCCTTCAATACAGTTCATAGAAAAAAAAGCAGAATGATGAAAATACCAATGGAGGTAGCCAAAGGTGTTGCATTCTGTTTAAAAGATGGCTTATTGAGTCTTCTTTAATACATACTCATTCAAGAAGCCACTTCATCAGTTCTGTCAGGTGGTTGTTTATTATCAACCCATTTGCCAGTTAGGAAAACTGAGGCAGAGCAAGAAACCTTCCACCTACTACACATGTAATCAATACTCTGGGGCTCAGCCAGGCACATAGGTTTAACGTATACTAATGAATTGTTCTGGCATTGAACTTGACTCAGACAGCCTAAAAAATATCCAGGAGGTTAATCATTTTAATTCTCAAGACAATGACAATTAAATCAGTTTTTCCCCAAAAGCATCTACATGAGACTATGGAACTCTCTCGTGGGAGATAATACCTTTACAGGAAATACCTGGACTCCTGTCTGTCATGACTGAAGAGTATGTCTGTGCATGTATAGAGAAGTTATACAGAAAAACAATCATAACAAACAATGAGTATCCCAGAAAGAAATGATCTGAAATTTTCTTTGAGGGAACAGGAGCATGGTACAAGGCAAGGAAACCATGAGACCAAGTACATGAAAACTTACTTCCTGCTTTGACTCCCTGTACCTTCCATCACATAGTAGCCTGGTTTGCATTCATATCTGCAGATGGTGCCCACATCATGGTTGCCTTCTAGGCAATTTGGCAGGAGCAAATTTGCATTTGGAATAACCGGAGGAGCATCACATTCCAACTTGCAGTAGACTTCCGGGAGAGACCACAGTCCATCTTCAAGACAGGTCAGCCACGGGCTCAGTCCTGACTCCAGGAAAGAGAATCACATGATGCTCAGAACAGATAGCACATGGACAAGGAACAAAAATCTCGGCAACAAACAAATATATTGGCTCTCTTCAAGTCCCATTATTCTTTGTTAAGCAGTGTCTCTAAAAATCTCCCATCTACGACTGTTGGTGAGATCTCATATACTATAGCATCACATAAAGATTCCCTAGTCTCAATGGAAGAAGAGCTACCAATCAAATCATTGCCTCTCTTCCTACCTACGGTAGTAAATATACAGCAATAGTAGCAATATGGGTTGTATTAAAATAACAACATTTGGCACTTGTTGGTGATTATATACCAGGCACTATTATAAGTGGTCTGCTCTTATAAACACATGTAAATTGCAAACAGAAAATAACTCTATCAAATAGATTCTAGCTATCCCCCTATCAGGCAGATAAGGAAATGGGGTCTGCCCAAAGCAGAGTCTGGGTTTGGATACAGTGTTCTGAGCTTTAATACCATACCACATGACTCTCTGTAATCTGGTTTCTCCAAATGTAACCTAGGACTGCCAGCATTAGCATCATTAGCCTGCCAACCTACTAAACCACAACTCAGAGTAAGGCTGAAGAATCTGCATAGGCAATGGATCATTGTGTGACATAATGAAGACTGGGAAATATAGATAAAGAGCACAGTGTGGTGGTCAGCACCTCTTCATCTCAAGTAGCCAAACAGCCAGAGATACATTGTGTAACATTGTTCTCCTAATTTACAAAATAAGATGTATCTAATGCAGAATGTGTGTATTTAAACTTAATAATGTGTACCTTGGTTGTTAATATTATCAGAACAGTTATGCTGATTGGCCTTATTCTGGGAATTCATATAAAAACAAGAAACAAAGACTAAGTTTCATTCAGTATTAGTGACACCCTAATCTAGGACATCTCTACATGTTTCAGGAACAAAACAGTGATATCTGAGGGGATTTTGTGTTATTGGAAGAAGGTATCAGAGAAGAGCAATTTTGAAGCATATACGGGTGAAAAATAGTACAAATATACCCCGAAAGAGTGAGGGAATGGAGGGAGCTGACATTCAGTTCCCTCGTGGGCCAGACAATACCTTGGAGCTTGGCTGGTGGGACACATGAAATGGAACAGCGTTTCTGAAAGTCAGTGCCCTCCAAGCAGGAGAAATTTGCATAATTCACCAATGACGAGTCTGGGACACCACAGTCAATGCGCACGCAGCTCACATCCTTGTCCCAGTGGCCAGAGGAACAAGTGAGGAGAATCCCTTTCTAGAAACAGAGAATTTACTTCTGTCAAAGTCACATATAACGGTTATTAGATTTGCTTCCTGGCCTTAGAAGAGTCCTAGTGGTCATTTGTGCAACCTTTCTGCTTTTGATCTTTCCTATGACTCACTGTTTAGGAGATGCTGATTAAGGGAGCCCGTTTGTACCAAGGAGTCACTGCTCTTCCAAGCTTCATCTTCAGGCTGCCCTGTCCTTGCTCTGACCTATCTATTTTCAGTTCAACCTTCCCTGGTCCCAGAATCTCAAGCCTCCTACTGGTGCTTGAATGCCTGCTCTGGGACCTGGAGGCAGAGTAGAGATGACAGAGGAAAGGAAGCCCTAAGTGCTTATCTCCCTGTCCCCTCCAGAAGGAATGGTTGTAGACTGACTCATTCAGTAACTATCTGTGGAAGAACAGATAGAGCTGTTGTTCCACAGAGCCAACCTTTTATGTTTAAGGGTAAGAGCAGAGCTCCATCACTCTGGACTATTGCAAATCACATGGCACACACTTAAATCCTGCCTACATATTTTTAAGAACTCTGCTTATAAACTTCTCTTAAATTACCTACTTTGAAGCTAGGTCTGTGAATTTGATCTTAACTGGGCTAGAGAGTGAGATCTCTCTCAAAAACTCAAAGTAAAAGATATAAGAAATAAGAGGTAGCACTTAGCATATCATGTCTATCAAATTTCATAACTGATAGAATACTTTCAGTACATTGTTTAACTTTCATACTCAAAGCAATCCTTTCCCATTTGAATACAAATATTAAAACACATGAATGAATGTTGACTAGATTAGCTGAGTACCATGCAAATAAGTTACTTGTCATCTACTTCCTACTGGCACCCTTATTAACAAACATACTAATAATGCTATTAAAAATAATTACCTGGGTCCAGAACAATACCTAAGAGAGTTAATAAACACAGGTGCTTCTATCCAACCTATGGTAAATGGGAGTGAGTCTAGCTATATTCTCAAACTTTCCATTTTAATGGGTAAGCGTACATTGCCATTATGTAAGTGAGAAAATGTGCATGGAGTACCTAGAAGGCCTGGCCCTGAACTGAACAAGGTGGTTTCTGGCAGCTAAAAATAGAGCAAATCACTGAAACAGTGACTAAGAAAACAATAGGAAGAAAAGGAAGTTGTCAGATGCTAACAATATATTTTATATTTGGCCTAAAATAGCCCTACAGTCTTCTCTAATCATTAGAGAGAATACAGCATAAAGAATATAAATTAGAAATATGAGAAATAAAAAAATTCCAGAAGAAAGCAATAACTCTAGAGAAATGAAAGTCTGTCACCAGGTATTCATGAGTATGAAGCACAGTACCCAAGGAGCCAGGAAGAGGGACGGTCACCCTCAGGCAGAAAGAACTTGAGATGGATACAGGACTTGAAAGATCATCAGGACTTTTGAACTGCTCAGGGGAGGTGGGAGAAGAAGGTATCCAGCCAGGCCTGAGATGAGCAGGCACTTAGTGACTGTGAAACTCATGGCTCATTTAGGAAAAACAAGTATCTGACTATGGGGGAAAAGATCAAAGACAGACCAAAGAGTTTCTATGATGAAATTGCAGGTCATCCCATCAGGTGACCACACTGGCACACAAGCCAAAGGTTCAATGACTGCTGAAGTCACCTATCACCCCTGACACTACATCTTAGCTTAGTGCTTTTCTCTGCTTCCCAGTGTGTCCCTGTTGCCAGCCAGAAGGATCCAAGTCAAAGCCAGACACGTTTTTTCTATTTAGCTTCAGTTCTCATGTCAACAGAAAGCAAATATCCCCACTGTCTTGTGATCATGAGCTGGGGATTGTACAATTTCCTGCATGGGGCCAGAGTCGGGTAACAGTGGCTGGTCAACTGCAGGGCGCCATTGCTTACTTCACCATGTGTTTGGCAAATGTGACCTGCCATCCTCTTTCTAACCAGGTTCTTCTCACACTTAGCACAGTTGGGAGGTCTGGTTCAAACTGCAGCAAACCACTAATCATTTAAAGACTGTCTCTAAACTCCATGTGTAATGCCTGGATTTTCTCTTGGCTTTTTTGTGTACTGCCCATTTTGTTTTAGATGCAACTTTAATGCTCAACAAACATAGCCTTTCTTCTCTGCTCTTCTTAACAAACCACATACATGAATTTAGTCCCTAACTTGTTGTGTTATTTCTACTGTGTTTTCAGCATGAAGAATCTTTGCCTGAGTTAAGCACAGGTGATAGATCTTTCTAGATCAGAAATTTGATACCTCAATCTTCATTAAAGCTGTTTCTGTCTAGGTGATTTAATGAAACTTTCTCAAACTGAAAACTGTATCTTTAAATTCTGACCATGCCTAAGAAAGTGAAATCTATCCATAGGTTCTCAAACTGTTAAGAAACCAAATGGCTCAAAACTGAAGCATTTCTATTTCTCAAACAATTAATGCAAAGCTAGCAATGGTGCGCCTATTCTTTTCCCATGATCGTGCATGTTTCTGGCTCTCTCTCCAGGCATAATTACAGTTGACCTTGTGTATACTTCCACTCTCTCACAGTGTGATCTTGTTTCCCAGTGGTTTGTTTGCGCTTAAAATTGCCCTGTCCAGTGCTGTAAGCTTTCTCAAGAGGAAATGAGAAATAAGCCCCTAGTTAGAGAGAGGTTATCTTGTTCTTAATACAAGAAGCTTGTAACTAGAGCAGCCAATGCCTATTATTACACTAGAAGATTGTAATAAGGCTCATCAACTATTGCAGTAACTCAACAAGTTCAATACTTCTGTTTGGGATATGTATAATGTAGAAATGAATTTAAAGGGATTATTTCATTCTGGTTATTCTTACTGTTGTATACCTAAAAGATAATGGAGACAAAATGTTTGCCTAGATCTGTCTCTTAAATGACGCTCTTAACTAATACATTCATCTGCCCCTAGGTTACCCCAAATCCTGGAAATGGTACAGTTGAAATTTGGGGTGGGGTATATAAAAATAGGGAAAATTCAGTACCATGATACAACCCATGCCTTGACTGTAGATTTAATTTTTTGTGTGCAATTTGGTTATATTCCCCTGTGAACCTCAGACAAGTTGACAGCGGTCTATTTCTCTGTGACTTATGAACATATCTACTTTGAGATATTCTCAATGTTAAGAAGACAAATCAAGGAAATATTGAATAAACACTCATATCTACTGCCCACACAGTATGTTAATACCTTAGGAAATCAGAGTTTTATATGTGTAGACACTTTGAACTTTGGTACCACCATGTTTCCCTTTCTTTCCTAGAGACCATAGTTTTCACTCCTGAAGATTTAAAAACACCCACCCTTCCCAGTCTAGTGAGAGAGAGAAGATAGATAGCTTCAGAAACTCACTCCTTCTGATTGTCAGCTTCCAACTCACCTGCATGGTCCTGAGGTACTGCCCACTGCTGGTCTGAAGAACATACCCCCTTTGACAAGTGATAGCACACTTCATGTGACCTGGGCCACTGGAGGTACAATTTACCATGTCTGCATGATCAAGTAGCAATGGTGTACATCTTCCCTGTTCTCCACATGGTCGTTGGGCACAGCTAAGGGTGACAGAAATGGAAGCATCTTAGGGAAAGCCTAAATGGCAGCAATATACATTTCTGAACAATACTCCTAAAGTTCAGAAAGATATTCTTCACAGCTTCCTGAGAACTGTGAGGCATGATAAACTTAAACCATGACAGCTAACTTTCTGTGGCCCTTCCAGGAGAAGCAGTGATGATGGGACGAGGTTCCCAGATGTTCTAGATCAGTGAATGACACTTGAAATATTAAACAATATTTCTAGGTTCCAAACAGTCAGAATAGGCCCAGGACAAATTTCAAAAATAGATCCAAGATATTCCTGATTTCATCAGGCATTGGCCCTTTAGATAGCTGATCACAAGGAAGTTCCAGAGTTCCTATGTGGAAAGTCGAGTATTATTGAGTATCTGAGATCATAGACTAGTTGATATGAAAATATTTTGACTATTGGCACATACCTCTGAAGGGGGCACAGGCTAAGGAAACCTACCAGTATGAATATAATCGCTATCACTTGCCAGACATTGTGCTGGGGACTTTCAGAGATATCTTCTTAGCAGAGAATTGCTTCTTGGACCAGTAGGGAGAGATATACATAAATGCCCCAAGGTTCAAGGAGATTATAAAGCTTGGACTACAATAGCAACAATGAGTTGGCAGTAGAATACCAAGAGTGTAGACTCCAGACACATCGGAAACACAGAGTTTAACTAAAACATTAGCACTAGACTTTAGTTCTTGTCCCACCATTTAATACTTGCATAATATGGAGTGAGTAATTAGCATCCTGATGTTTCAATCCTTTCCCTCATTGGATAAGATTTACACTTCTCTTTACAAAGTTGATGTTGTCCCCAGGTTAATCCCTTTTCTGTCCTGCTGCCTAAGAGCCAACCCCATGTCAGTTTCTGTTTACTATTAGGCTCCCTTCTTTTTCATTTCTCTCACTTTCACACTTTTTTCAGTTTAATGAAATTTCTAAAAGGGTTTCCTACTCCAAGAAGCAACCCTCCCCATTTTATTTCTTCCTTCAAATCTCTTAGTAAAAGTATAAAAATAACTCCCTTCTAATAATTAGTGTATTTGATCTTGTTATGTATGCATTTTCTTGTTCTTAAAGCAGTTTAGGCATTCATTTACCCACAAGACAATTATTATCTGATTATGTCCTTAATCTCACAACTGGAGTATGACCTTCTTGAAAAGAGATATTTTTTCTTGCCCAATTTTAAATCGCCATGTTTTTGGCCAATAAAACTTGCTTAACTAAAATTTTTCCTATTTCAGATAGCAAAGTTAGTCAAAGTTGCTAAAATGGAAAATGTGTTAAATAACATAAAAGAAAATTATTCTCCAATGATTCAATCATCCTGCTCCAATCATTCATTCCCTCAATAAACACTAAGTGTAATAGTGCCCAAGACCTCAGCATAACTGATGCAACTAGAGAGGAACCATTCTGACCAGCATTTAGACCCTTAACACCTGTTTAAATGGGGACAAAGATCCATCAAATCCATAATGACAGGATCTAAAAAAGTTCCTAAATATACCAATCTCACTTTGTAACTAAAATAGTTTCCCTCCTCACTAACTTTTCTTGTTAACAAAAGTGTGTCAGCTAGGATATGGGTTTTTTTGTATATAAAAGACAAAGAATGGTGAATCTATGGGCTCCATGATCTGAGCAATTTCCCCATGCAGTTACCAGCTGGTAAAACAGACTTTCTATTCGGCAGAGTATCTGTGTGTCTGTGCTCGAGCGGAATCATCTTACAAGAAAAGGACATATTCTTTGCAAGAGGTTGGACTGAGAACCAGTGATTTAACAAAGACAGTGCCTTTAAGGAACTCAGTCTAGTGAGAGAGACTACCAACATATTGTCTTATTTTGATATTTTTGCCAGTGGTGAAATCATTAAAGACAGTAGCTATCACTCATCATCAATAATGTGCTCTACTTGTCCTTGGTTTCTATTAGTGGTTCATGACTTTACCAAATAATTAGACAACAGCACAAGAATGTAGAAAATGAAGTGCTATCAAGTATGTACACAGTTCCTACTGTAATTGATCCTTGGTTTAAAAAGAAGTAGCTTGTAAGAAGGTGGATTTGATCTGACTGTGATAAATGGATGTCACTGATGGATGGTATTTAAACACTATTCCAGTGACACTCTCATTTCTTTTGTGCATGTGCAAGAGGTAGAGGGTGGAAGAAATGGAGATGCATGATGTGATGGAATCTTTTTAACTGTCTTATCCCATAGTTATTCTCTATGATTATGTAACATCCACACAGCCCAATGACAGAAAGGAGAAATAAAAGCTGAGGAAAGCAGGACTGTTAATGAGTCAGGACGGATTCTCCAAATCTGTTTTTGACCAAAGGGCATGCAATATAAGGAATGAGGCTGTCTCTGAGTCTTTACCCAACATCTGGATACGGTAGTCAAAACCTGACTATCCGTAGGATGAAAACATCCTTTATGATACCAAGGAACTTTAAATCCATGAAATGCTACATGTTACTCATCTCCAAACCACTGTATCTTCTTCAGTGTGTATGAAAGAGCACATGCTATTTACGGTAACTTTATCCAATGCATCCACATCATCATAAAAAATAAGCACATGCTGAGACAGGACCGAAAGTGAGCACTGTGCATGAGCTTCTTTCCATCATTATGGCCGGGACTACATTTATTGTTGGTATTATAAGCATCTATCTAACACCACGAGTGTATCCAGTATTGACAGCAGAACAGAACACAAGACAAAGAGAACACAAAAGAGAAAGGTGTCATGAAGTAAGGCCACAACTGGGGGTGGAGTGTGGGGGAGCAAACCCAAACCTGTTTATGAAGTGAGAAATGGTTTTGTGGCAGCTGCTACAAATTATTTCACTAGCTTACATTTCCATTTACTTCCTTTTAAAAGAATTTGTTTTATGAGGACGGTGTTTGTCAGGTCGTTAGCTTCTGATGGCATCTGGTACCAATTGTGGACTTGTCTCCCTTGCACCCCAAACCCTCTTTGGTGTTTCTTTTCCACTACAAACATTGCCTCCTGAGTGAATTTGTTGTGTTCGCTATTATCACACCTTGTTACACTTTCCTTTCTCCTCATGTGACCTCACTTCTCATAGATGAAGACAGTGCTAATAGCTCAAATAGTTCATCTTAAAAATTCTCAAATGCTTTCTTCTGTTGAAGGTGGCAAAAATGATGCTGTGCAGTGTAGTGAGGGCAGGAAGGGAAGAGAAGATATTTATCTTGGTTTGACATACAAGGAAACTAAAGTTGTTTGGAGACTGGCTAACAGCCACACATGGAGTCAGAGGAAAATCCTCATCTCCTAGACTTCCCTCCTAGGCCAATTTAGATCATGGGGTCTAGGTATGAGGCTGTTTTCCTTCTGTTTTCTGTCTAATCAGGAAAGAGCAGCATTGGTTAAATGAACCAATGAGTTCTTACCAGGGTAATAGAAGGGATGCATAGAATATTTATTAGTTTGTTTGAGTTTTGAAGAGTAATTTTTTTCAAAAGGTGGTAAATTAAGGCAGCAATGTTGTTTGCTAGGGTGCAGTTTCCAAAATTCCCTACGTGTGTTTCCTTTTGGCAACATCTCCCTTCTCTCGCATCTACTTCTTCAGATCACTCTGTATACCTCACCACAGTGTCTTCTCAGGCAGGGACATGATAAGATCAGACAAATGTAACTCACAAAACTTTAGGTCAAAGGATTGAATTTTTCATGTTTGAATTTCAAATCAGTGAGTCCTTAGAAATCACAAAATGCACATGGCCACCTACCCAATATTCTAGCTTTATTTTATTGTTTTTTCTCTCCATTTTCTGAAAAGGAACAACATCTTTCTTTTGATTCTCATTCCAAAAACTATTATGTTGAAGGGGCTTAAACAAAGACTTTGTATTCAGGAATCCATGTTAAAAATCATCTTAACTCAGGCTATCTTCTTGTTGTACAGAGTTACTCCACACTCAGTCCTAACAATCTCCCACAATATGGTTTCTTCTCAGTTGACTGGACATGCAAATGATGCCCAGAGATGAGAAACCCCTGCTATCATGATGCAATAAAAGAAGGACCCTCTGCTCTATGATACAGGCTCTCAATCATAGCTGTATCACAGGCTCACTTCAATAACTTTTAAAACATGTATATTTCCAGCCCTTATCACCTGAGGGATTTGTATTGTTCCAGTGGTGTGATGCAAGTATTTGTGATAATTTTTAACTTTCAAATGGTCTTACTCAGTAACCCAGGCAAGACTTGACTTAAAATCTTTATAAACATCCTGCCTCTTCATCTCTATGTCACCATAAGCAGCTGGTTCAAAGTTTTTACCACTCACCTGGAGTGGATCTTATCCCAGTAATGGTCTGGATAGATATAGCCTGACAGAAATATCAATATTCTAGAGACCTAGAGTATATGAAAGCAAACTGACTCCAAAAGGAGATAGATTTCACTGCTGAATCATTATGTTTTAATGTGTTAAACCCAAATTATCACACAGAAGCTTTAGAGTAGGCTCAAAGCATAACATATTCTCTAGTTCTGACAAAACTTTGAATACATTTGAAGCGGGGAAAATAAATCATGTGCTACTCATTATGAATTCATGGCTCCTTCAGAGTTTATCATTACATTGATTTGACCTTAAGGAATGACTAAGATTTGGAAGGGCTAAATAAATGTCCCGAGAAGTTACTTCTGAAGTTTAATAAACAAAACACAGGGAAATGGAGCAATGTGAAGAAAGCACAGGAGAATCATGATTTCCCCCGACACTGTGAGGTGAGAACAACACTCGGTATGTCTGGATCTCTTCCATTCTGACCAGCAGACTTAGAAAAATCTGTGTTTAAAGAAATCAACATCTGTTCCTGAAGACAGCTTTAGAAGGAAGCTTTTCTAGTGGTGAGGGACAAACAGTTTGAGCTTGAAACCAGAGGCTAGCCATCATTCTCTGGAGGCAGAGTAACCA